TTTTTTTTTTTTTTTTTTTTTAATAAACACATGTCATGCTGTTTCGGGGATCTCCTTTAGCTGCACTTGCAAGACTTTACAATCATGTTGGACAGCTGTTCAATTTTGGGTGTTTTGCCAATGTAGTAGAGGATGGTGAGGGGTTCCAAATCCTGGGACACACAGCATGGAGAGGCAGAAGCTTCTGGATTTATGGTGTTATACAAGCTGAGTACCTAGAAGGAGAAACAACAAAAAAAATCAGATTAAGGCGTCCACCTCTAATGACCAAATTACTTTTTGCATCACTTCCTCCTACAGCACCTAAGAGAATGCTCATAGAAAGCAATAGGAAGATTCCTGGATTTTAATACTTTTTATGCTTCTCCACTTCAATCTGGTGTCACAATATGCCTGAGTTTGCTAGGGTTTTGTACATGTAGTCTTAAACCTCAAAACAAGTACATGCCTGGAGCCTGCCTTTAGAGTGTAACCCTTTGAATCAACACACACACTTTATTCATATAGAAAGAAGAAACTGAAAGGTTTTTATCTGTTTGTTCAGATTGCCATTTGCTGACTGCAGCATTTTGGCTTTACAAGTGCACCAAAGAGAGAAGTAAGCTCTTCACAACAACATAGGTACTCTTCTGCTTTTACCCTCTGGCTATGTTAAGTTCATTAATGCCACCCTGCAAGCAGCAGGACTCAAGATGCAGCTACTCCTGTTGAGAACCAGCTGTGGTGAAGTTATCATCTATATCATGTTGGATTCCTATGCATGGTTCTCTGCAAGGGAAGTGTGTAGAGTTAGCCACCGATGATGCATAGGTATTCCTGAGGATACTGTTAATGCCTTAGCCAAACACCAAGTGACCTTTTCCTAGAACTTCAACACAACATTTGTAGCTTAGAGAGACAGAAGATCCGTTCAGGACAGCAACACTAACTACTTTATTAAGCAACTTCTGACTCCTTGGGCAACTATTCAAACCACATATTTGTGACCATGACAGTTATTCTTCCTCTTTCCTTTAAAAACAAGTGCTGCTCCAAAATGTGTACACTACTACCCCACATCAGCATGGAAACATACCTTATTTATACCTCTGCCTATTGACATTATACTATTAGCAATGTCACAGCCAGTGACAGCTACAATGGTGCAAGTTCACCTATCGTGGTTTTACTAACCAAAAGAAACACAAGCTGCCCCTTTGACATGGAGAGTTCTCCCTACTGGCCAACATGCATCTGGTATTTTAAGGAAGGCTTGAAAATGGGGAGACATCATTCTTAGTACGGACCTGAGGGTGAAATTCTTACTTTATGACAACTGCGATGCAAATGTCTGCCTCTTGCATGCACTGTCTAGGCATCCCTACTGACAGTTGAGAGAAATAAGCACTTCACAGCAGAATACTACTCATCCTAAGGCAGTTGGCTAAAATACCACATCTAATCCCTAAAAGTCCCATCTCAGACGACTATCATTTGGTTCTTCAACATCCCAGACACATACAAATTTTCAAAGTACAAGAAAGAATACACCTTTTGAAGTAAAAGAAGGACATCTCTCAGTACATTTTCATGAAATTCAGCATGGCAAGTGCTAATCTTGAAATGGTAGGTCATAAGTGATAACCAGGTGGTAAAACTCATCAGACCTTTGTTACTCTGACAGTGCCTCCCCAAGTATGTTTGCTGACCGAGCTCATTGTGCCATCTTCCACTCCTGCTCTATAATGAAAGGCCCTTCCCAGGCCACCTCCCAAGGCTACACACTCACAAAAAACATTAAATACAACATTGAAAAAATCATATTGATGAACACATTAAAAAAAAAAAAAAATCTCTGGGTCCATACATTCCTACTTCTTGAGGCCATGTGTGAGTTCCTCTATAAGACCACATTTCATCATCCTTAGTTATTTAGACAAACTTTGAGCATTGGTGCTGATGTCAGTCCCAGAAACATAGTTCACCCTGCAGTTATAAAACAGAAGCTGAAAATTAGCAAAACCATTACTTACTCTGCTGTGCTGAGTATCTGAGCTCCATAAATAAGGGCAGGCTCCCGCACAGAAATTAGCATGGTATCCTTTAGGTTCATGAATCCATTTCCAGCCAAGGTCCCTCTTGAAGTCAATATAAAGTGGACGCAGACAGCAATTATCCTGCACATTCCTTGGAAATAAAGTACAGACAAACCCATCGGTCATAATAAAAATAACACAGGGAATGAAAATAATCCAGCTGCTCACCCCCTGAATGATGCTTTACAGGCAGGCAAGCCTGAGTCCCAAAAATTCTCAACCAAATTCAGTCAACAGTAGCTTATACTGTAACTGAAACAGGATGCCTAGACATGGTAGGACTTGTTTTAGAGACAAAGCTAAAGGTCTCCCTGTAGCACTTAGTCAAGTTATTTTTGTCAGGTCCTACAGAGGGGACTCTCTGAGTAGGTGAGCAAAGTGGAGGTGATAATTTGGCTGTAATTATTATAGGACTAAAGCATCTGGGAATCATCCCAGATGGAACTCAGCCTCTGTTGTCTAAGGTCACAACCTCCCTCATCTGCCACTGTCTCTGTGGGATTGAAGACCACTGGGCAGACCTGCTGCACAGACCCCGTGGGTCTGCAAATGAGGGGGTGCGTTCTGTAAAAATACCAACTGTAAAGAAACAATGATAAACAACTGCAAGACACCTCACAGGCTGGTATGATTATGTAAGTATATTGAATACAGATGCATAGTTACCTAAAACAATAGGCAGCATCTAGAGCACGCTTCTTCCGCCGACTGGGCTGTTGCGACTCAAGTCTGTAGGAGGGTAATAACATTAGCAGAAGATGTGGGGTCTTCCCACTGTATTTTTTCCTATTGGACTTTAAAGCTTTCACATCACCACTGGAATATGTGTAGTCATCAATACCTTCAAAAAATACATTTTGGTGATAAACATTGTGTTGCTTTTTCTTCACAAATTAAATAAACCATGTCTTAAAAAAATTCTCTCAGAAACTGGGCCATGATGGTGTCAGCTGAGCACATTTACTGGGGAAGGGGGGGAAATTTCAAACCAAGATCCCTAAGATATTCACAGTTTTCATCTTATCTATTGTACTGGCCCTCCCACATTCACTGCTGTTTAATGGCATTTCAGCACACTTACCAGAACTACTGAAATGAGTCACAGAAAAGATAATTTAAGTCATTGCATCTGCATTGCTTAGTTTCAAATGTCCCAAGCAGTAATTCTTTTGTCACTTCACTAAAAGCAGCATTTCTAACTTTAAACTAGCTATGAACCTTTTAAAACCTTTTAACATCATTAAAGCTGCTCTGGATACTTCATTTCCCACTGCTTACTCCTATCCCATTAGTTTTCTCTATCACATTCACTCCTTTCTAATACTTTTAAATTCTCCATCTCCCATTGCCAGTTTATCTAAATCTGCTAATTTTCCCCGGAAGTCATTCTAGTCCCTTCTTTTATATGGGCATGGCAAAGACATTGATCAAAGTATTTCTTCTTTAAGTGGCAAACCATGACCTCACATTTTGCATTTTCTCCTTGAACACAAACTGCTTTACTAGCTTCTTATCATGGCAACAGCACAGGAGGGAGACTCAAGGCATTGGCCTTTCATAGGAGTCATGTTATGCCTTTTGCTAAGACCCTTTCGAAAATTAACCTCCCCAACCAGATAATACTATCTAAACAGAAAAAGATACACTTTTCTTTCTGTAACATTTGCAATTACAGTGCCCAAACATCATACTAAGATTTTTTTAAATACACACAATGGCTTTAATCATATGTACAGTACATGTATTTACTAACAGAAAAATTTCCAATGCAGGAAAAAAATGGTTAGAAAACTTAATACTTGGCAAGGAATATACTCAAATCCTTGGAACACGAATGAACCAAATCATGATACACTTTAATAAACGAGAACTGTATAAACAGAATTTGCATTAAAATTGATTCTAATATAGCTATGATTTTATATGTACTGGTGAATGATAACTCTAGTACTGTCAATTAAATACTATTTCCCTTTTGAAAGTGAAAGTTTAATGGCTTAAAACCACAAGGGAGCTTGTATGACCTTGATATATTTTACTCCATGTCACCTTGCCTGCTGTCCATAAAAAGCACATATATCCATAACCCACATTACGTACTGGTTTTTATTTTTTAATGCCCAATCTTTTCTACTAAGTCTGACTTGTTAGAGTACTAGGATGGACAGCAGTCAAAGGGTTTATTTTGAAAATATTCAGCATGTTTTCTCATTACTATCCAACAGTAGATGGCTGACTGTGCAACAGACTTTAGTAAACACAAAACTCTATTTATGTCCTGTGTGCATGCTGCAAACTGTTAACACAGACTCTTAAGGACATCAAAGCTGCATGCAAGGAATGAGACAGCTTATTCATGCCATCTGATTTTAGAATTTGTTCATATGATATAGTTTTACCCCTGTGCCTTTAATACCATCTCCTACCAGCTGAGAATCATGATTCTCAAATGACCAAGTTTTCAATTAGCTGAATGCCATCTAGGAGGCAGTAACAGCTTTTTATTTCCCTCCTCAATTAATAAGTACCACAACATTTTAAAAAGTTGGTGTTTTTTCTTTCATTACCTGCAAATCTTGCTTCAAGTTCCTCACTTTTGTTTGGGATGATATAATTATTGGAAGGCACGAAGGTACAGCATGGACAATGTAAGCTTATCTTAAATCCAAGATTCCTGTCTGCAAAACATAATAATGAGTGGAGTTGGTTTTTACACATGGAATCAACCTGAAACACTGCTGAGTTAATGGAGGAGCAGCTGGGGCAGGATTGAAGGCAAAGAACACTTGTTGTCACCTCTGTGATGGAGCCACTCATGTACAGCCTCAGTGACATCAAATGACAACCATTCTCCTTCAGCTCTTGTTTTAACTACTTTGCTGTCAATGTAACGCTGTCCTGGTGATGATAATTCTTTAGATTTTAACACCTGCAAGAAACAACAAATAAGATTGCCTACAGGTTAAGATTTACCTGGTTGCTATTAAAATGGACCACTAACATTATAAAATAGCAGAAGAAACTATTACAGCTCAAACCTCTATGCAGTAGATTACATTCATGCACTTTTTCAGAAAGAATTTTCTTGGGGTGTGTAAGGAGAACATGATTTAAAAACAGTCCAATGAAATCAGCTTATGGTCCCAAGCAAAATAGAGAATCGCCTATTCCTTCATGAGAGAAATCACACAGAAAAGAACTGCCCTGAAAACTCATCCTGTAACATAAGTGGTCAAGAGTTCAAAGTAAACATCAAAAGAAGCTATTTTACCTTCTTCAGTAATACTTAGATTGGCTAGAGCATAACATCAGATGCTAAAGTACCACCTGTACAATGTACTCTGTACACTGAAGGTATTTTATTGCTCACCAGTAGCTAATCTGTATGGTATTGCCTTATTCATGTTTTCAGCCTTCCCTTTGATTTCAGATACTAATCATACAATAAACAGATGGCCACACATATAGCTGTGCAACAGGTGATGCTGCTTCCATCCAAACTCTGATGCCACCATTATGTGTATTTGTGTCGAACGTTTCAGCAAAGCTTGCTACTGCCCATGCAAAAAAAAAAAAAAAATATACCTGTACAAAAGAAACCCAGGCCCTGCATGGTTAGAATTTCAAGTGCCCACACTCTTACCCCTTGTCAAACAATTCAGCCATTGCCTTCCCACATTCACCCATAGCCTGCTATTATTTATCCTAACTCTAGGATGAAAACAATTGGACTTTTGGCTGCTAACAGGTTGCTGGTTTCCTGGTTATTACTATGTTGATAGTTTTGTGATGCAGGGAGCTGGAATGCCATGCAACATTAAGTCAATTCCAATCAAGATATCACATGAGAACATCACTTTGTAACTTTTGGCATGCCAGCTGTGCAACTTCATATACTGTTTCGGGGTTTTCCTCTCCTTAACTATCCATGTCCATCTCCAAATGAGTAATGAACAATGTCTCATTGTTTCCTCCTATTTTCTCAGCCTAGAACAACTTGAAATCTAGCAAACACTCCTGTAATAAAGCCATGGTGAAACTGCATAATACATGCAAAGAAAAATATTTCAAAAGAGGTGTGAAACTATGTCATCGTGATAAAATTCAGCTTTTCGTAACTAAACAGAAAAGCAGGCTTGAAAAGATCAGATTCTGTCCAGCATGTAGAATTAGCATGTAGAGTCTCCCTATTTATTTCAAGTCATTGCTGGACCTCTCAAAGGCCAACAGTGCCGCTGTTACAATAATATTTGCCTTATGAAAAGAACAGCAACATGACAAGCTCTTTGCCTTCCTTCTGATCAACACATTTAGCAAAAAGTCATGAGAAGATGTTGGTTCAAGTCCAGAAGGTTACTAAGTGCCCCTAGTAGGCAATGCTGAGTTCCCCAGTAAAAACTAAGGGCACACAAACAGCGAACACTGGGATTCCTTTTTACGAGGCAACCTTCAAACAAAGTGTCTGAACAAGTGTTTACAGAGAGTCTGGCAGCAGCAAGGGGACTACCATTGCTCAGAAGTGCCAGAGGGATGAGAGAATCAGTAATCAATGCTGGGAAAGTCCCAGAGAAGTACAAATATAACTTTGCCTTCCCTTTGGTCTTTATCAGGTCAAGTGTTTCTGAGGATGTAATGCAGCTGTCATTCTGCAAAGATGTTTTGGGGCTGAGGGGCGGGGGGTGTGAGGCAAATGGGACACAAGAACTTGGCTCATTTCTCTTCCTTTCTGCACAGTCATATCTTTCCAAAGACTCCAGAAACTGCATACCTCAGTTTTGGCAGTGATGTAAGGACTAAAAAGTAAGTAATGTGCCAAAAGCAATCTCTTAATGATAACTATAATTGGTCTTAGACATATTTTGAAGACTCGGCTGAGCCTTGGTATCAAAAATAAAATGTATTTATCCCAGTCTTTATCCCAACTGTTACCAAAAGACAAAGTCAAGGTCTGGCAGTGTGTACCTGCAATGAAAGACATTTGTAAAAGTACAAGAAATCATCACTGCACATGTCTAATGCTACAAGGAAAATCCATCCTCACTAGTGAGCTGAATGACAGGAAAAGTGTTTGCAGGTTTCAGAACTGTATAGCACCATGGGAGAGGATCATACTGTGGATTAAAAGAGATGAATATTATTTATACTATGGTATCTATGATATCCTAAAGTAAAGTTTCTCTCCATGTTGTTTATGATGCACGATCAGGAAGAAAATTATGAAGAATGAGCTAAGTATGGGATAGTTTCCACAACTGACACCATGGGCTAAACAGGCACTGGTCATTCTTAAGAAAAGGCTATTAAGTGTGATGAGTGCCATACTAGGTGAAATTAGCTACAATCTCCTACTCCTTTATAGTCTTAGTGTGATGTATGATCTTAACAACCTGAATACTTGTAAGCAAGAACGACCTTCTAGCTTCACCATTTCCCTTTTCCCTTCTTTTTCTCTTATATTGTTGCAAGTGTGGAAAACTAATGGATGATAAAATCCTAGGCTGGATCCTCAGAGTCTATTTCCTCCCACAAAATAATCTGATCAAGAATTCTTCACTTCTTTTCCTACACTGCATTCTATGTTTCCATCCACGTTGAAGCCATAGCACTCTACATGGTGGTAAACAAAGGGGCCAATTCATAGGAATCTCAGAAATTTTCATGGATATAGTATGTTCTTCAAATGAGTATTCCAGAAATTATTACATGAAACACGCATTTTAGGTTCTCTCTGCCATTTCCCTCCTTTGGTTTTCTTCTTATTATTTTGCGCTACATTTCTTATCTTACCCTCCCCATCAGTAACATACCCTTTTCTTCCAATGAAAAATGTCTCAGTATTTTCAGTCCTTACTTCCTACTAGATCAACTAGTTTAGTTTCAAAAAAGAATAAAAGCCTTTTCCGTACCTTGCAGCTTTTGCACTTGAAAGCTTGTCTTCTTCTTCCAACTATACTGATTGGTCTTAGAAGGGATATTACCTTTAGCTATAAACATTGCCTTGCCTTACCCATAAACACCACCTTACCTTTATGCTTAGCCCATCACAACCACATCAAACACTGTTATCAGAAATGTTGCTGCACAGCTTGTATCTGCAGGAGCTAAACGAAAGCCTTTGTGCAAAAGTTTTCAGTGCACTAAAAATATTAACAGAAGAAGAGGGGGAAAAAAAAAACCACAAAAGAGAAAGTCAACTGAGTTAAACTTCCCCTTTAATCCCTTCTTATTTCCTTCTGGTACCTTAACCAAACACTGCCTCTTAAAGAGGTAGAAGGAGTTTGGTCTGATTTATAGGTCATGATGTGGAAGGCTAGGGTTTTCAGGTGGGGGGAAAACTGTGCATCACCAGCTGCATGCAGAGACACTGAATCCATCATTTGCATGAGCAGAAGACAGTTTCCACATAAGCAGCCCCATCTCCCTCCCTCAGGAGTGACACATTCAAACACCTGCATGCACCAACAGCTGATGATGCAAAAGAACTGCGTACACACAGGTGAGAGCACATACATCTTCACACATGCTTGAATGAAAGATCAAAATCAACAAACTCAAAACCCAGGTTCTGAACATGGGGATGTTCTTCCAGGTGTATCTGTTTATTTGGCCTTGCTTTCAACAGACTGATAATATAACACTGCCTTTTGTAATAAAGGATTAGGCAGGCAACATAATCACATGAACACATTCTGTGGGGATGAGCTGAATAAGTACAAGTATTACCAAAAGGTTATCAGCAGACTTCTAGCCCAGTATACAGAGTAATTTACATTCAGCAGTAGTGCTCTAAATTTTAAGAACAATTTGGTTTTTTTCTACCCTCTTTTTATGTGATTCCTCCCTGTCAGAGGAAAACAAATAGCCAGAATGCTTATTAATCTCCTCTTGACCAAGTGTCTTGAACACTTAAGCCCTGCCTTCTAGCTATCTTTTTCTGTGGCCACTGCTAACCTTTCCCTCATATTTTTTTTTTCTTTTCTGAGCCTTCTTAAAAAAGACCTTTCGAAAAAATTAATTAACAAATTTAATGGCCAGTCTCTTCGCGAACGAAGAACCGGGGAAGGTCTTTTCANCAAATACTCGTGAAAGGTATCACATCCATGCAGCTACTGCCAGCACACAAAGGTGAAACAAACACATGAATATATAAACAATGCAGTTAATTGCAGGAAATGGCTCATGAAGATGCCAGATGCAAACAAATAATTGCCCTTGTTTGCACAGCTACATATGTTTAGGAAGCCCAGCTGGAGATCTTGGTGATGACAGCTCTCACATGCCACTTTCTCAGGCCTGCCAGATTTCTGGTATTTTACATTTGATTGAATGTAGTAGATTGAAATCTACTCTTCATTGGTCCTCCAAAGGTGTTCTGCTCAGTCTTCCAGGGGAGACCCTCTGCTTGGCTGGCAGCAATTTTTCTGTGCTCCCCCTCACCCACCAGAGGAGGCTGACCCATGATGTTATCTTGAAAGTATATCCCAAATCACCATGACCAGGGCATTCAGCAGTGAAAAGTTTTAGTTTTGTCACAAACTGGTTTCAGAAGAATTACAGGTGAGTTTCCAGAAAATACTGATTTCTAAATTACTTCTGCCACCTGCTATGCTTGCTTTTCAGATCAACTGGAGATTTCTTAAAAATTTAAGTATCAAATAGCTGAAATCTTCATTAAAATACTGGAGGATGAAACTGCTTATTTATAGGCACACATGTTTATACCCTCAAGTAACTATCACACAGTTCTGAGTATAGAAATAAGGACAAGGATTATCTTGGTCTGTATTTTATAAACTGTAAGTACACTGAGAACACTATATAACTCATGATAACAAACAAAGCAGAATGTTTGCAAAATTAGAAGAAACATGACTTTAAAGAATGGGGTATATCAGAAGCTGATATAAGCAAAACGGCAGCATTCAGCGT